AACTCTGGATTATGATAGAGGGCTGTGAGACTTTGACCTGAGTGCAAAAATGGATGATCTAGACCCTTCCAGAGCTGAGATATCGAAATTCAAAATTTCGACCCGAAAAAAAACGACAGTGTTACCCCTTTTGTTTTTTTCATTTTCGGGCAAAAAATTAAGTTTCTCCAATCTTCTCAAAACTCTGGATTATGATAGAGGGCTGTGAGACTTTGATCTGAGTGCAAAAATGGATGATCTAGACCCTTCCAGAGCTGAGATATCGAAATTAAAAATTTCGACCAAAAAAAAAAAACCGACAGTGTTACCCCTTTTGTTTTTTTTTCATTTTCGGGCAAAAAATTAAGTTTCTCCAATCTTCTCAAAACTCTGGATTATGATAGAGGGCTGTGAGACATTGACCTGAGTGCAAAAATGGATGATCTAGACCCTTCCAGAGCTGAGATATCGAAATTCAAAATTTCGACCCGAAAAAAAAACGACAGTGTTACCCTTTTGTTTTTTTTTCATTTTCGGGCGAAAAATTAAGTTTCTCCAATCTTCTCAAAACTCTGGATTATGATAGAGGGCTGTGAGACTTTGACCTGAGTGCAAAAATGGATGATCTAGACCCTTCCAGAGCTGAGATATCAAAATTCAAAATTTTGACCTGAAAAAAAAACGACAGTGTTACCCCTTTCGTTTTTTTTCGTTTTTGGGGCAAAAAATTAAGCTTCTCCAATCTTCTCAAAACTCTGGATTCTGATAGAGGGCCACGAGACTTTGACCTGAGTGCAAAAATGGAGACTCTAGACACTTCCAGAGCTGAGATATCGAAATTCAAAATTTCGACCCGAAAAAAAAAACGACAGTGTTACCCCTTTTGTTTTTTTTCATTTTCGGGCGAAAAATTAAGTTTCTCCAATCTTCTCAAAACTCTGGATTATGATAGAGGGCTGTGAGACTTTGACCTGAGTGCAAAAATGGATGATCTAGACCCTTCCAGAGCTGAGATATCGAAATTCAAAATTTCGACCCGAAAAAAAAACGACAGTGGTTTACCCCTTTTGTTTTTTTTCATTTTCGGGCGAAATATTAAGTTTCTCCAATCTTCTCAAAACTCTGGATTATGATAGAGGGCTGTGAGACTTTGACCTGAGTGCAAAAATGGATGATCTAGACCCTTCCAGAGCTGAGATATCGAAATTCAAAATTTCGACCCGAAAAAAAAACGACAGTGTTACCCCTTTTGTTTTTTGTTTTTATTTTCGGGCGAAAAATTAAGTTTCTCCAATCTTCTCAAAACTCTGGATTATGATAGAGGGCTGTGAGACTTTGACCTGAGTGCAAAAATGGATGATCTAGACCCTTCCAGAGCTGAGATATCGAAATTCAAAATTTCGACCCGAAAAAAAAAACGACAGTGTTACCCCTTTTGTTTTTTTTCATTTTCGGGCAAAAAATTAAGTTTCTCCAATCTTCTCAAAACTCTGGATTATGATAGAGGGCTGTGAGACTTTGACCTGAGTGCAAAAATGGATGATCTAGACCCTTCCAGAGCTGAGATATCGAAATTCAAAATTTCGACCCGAAAAAAAACGACAGTGTTTCGACAGTGCTTCTCCAATCCCTTTTGTTTTTTTTCATTTTCGGGCGAAAAATTAAGTTTCTCCAATCTTCTCAAAACTCTGGATTCTGATAGAGGGCCACGAGACTTTGACCTGAGTGCAAAAATGGAGACTCTAGACACTTCCAGAGCTGAGATATCGAAATTCAAAATTTCGACCCGAAAAAAAAACGACAGTGTTACCCCTTTTGTTGTTTTTCATTTTCGGGCAAAAAATTAAGTTTCTCCAATCTTCTCAAAACTCTGGATTATGATAGAGGGCTGTGAGACTTTGACCTGAGTGCAAAAATGGATGATCTAGACCCTTCCAGAGCTGAGATATCGAAATTCAAAATTTCGACCCGAAAAAAAAACGACAGTGTTACCCCTTTTGTTTTTTTTCATTTTCGGGCGAAAAATTAAGTTTCTCCAATCTTCTCAAAACTCTGGATTATGATAGAGGGCTGTGAGACTTTGACCTGAGTGCAAAAATGGATGATCTAGACCCTTCCAGAGCTGAGATATCAAAATTCAAAATTTTGACCTGAAAAAAAAAACGACAGTGTTACCCCTTTTGTTTTTTTTCATTTTCGGGCGAAAAATTAAGTTTCTCCAATCTTCTCAAAACTCTGGATTATGATAGAGGGCTGTGAGACTTTGACCTGAGTGCAAAAATGGATGATCTAGACCCTTCCAGAGCTGAGATATCAAAATTCAAAATTTTGACCTGAAAAAAAAAACGACAGTGTTACCCCTTTTGTTTTTTTTCATTTTCGGGCGAAAAATTAAGTTTCTCCAATCTTCTCAAAACTCTGGATTCTGATAGAGGGTCATGAGACTTAGACCTGAGTGCAAAAATGGAGGCTCTAGACCCTTCCAGAGCTGAGATATTGAGATCCCACGTAGCATTAATGCCATTATAAATATCTCAATATCTCAGCTCTGGAAGGGTCTAGAGCCTCCATTTTGGCACTCAGGACCAAGTCTTTATATTTCCTGCTTTATATTTTGGGGTGAAGTGTGACCAGGATCTGGTTTTGATGAGATTCACACACTGACTGCGGTGTGTGTGCGTGTGCACCTGCTGTCTGGTCTAGTACACAGTAGTGCAGTGCCAGATCAGTGCTGTAAGCCCAGCAGTGTTTATGTGGATGAGTGTGTGTTGGCGCTGATTGTGTCCTCTTCACATCCGTTTCTCCACTCCTCCAGCACCTGACTGCCAACACTGACTTTAGTCCCTAATATGAAGACGTGTTGTGATGGATCCGTGTCAATATCGGGATTCTGATAACACCTGGTTTGGCTATACATCCTTTAACATTCCAAGTTATTTAAGCCTCTAAATGTGTGTGTTGTGTACCGTTATAACCGATCTTCAGGCAGTTTCATGGGATTTATGTAACACGTTGGCCCCCCCTTTTTTGTAGGGAAAGTGTTGGATATTTATAATGGCATAAATGCTAAGTGGGATCTCCACATCTCAGCTCCGGAAGGGTCTAGAGCCTCCATTTTGGCACTCAGGTCTAAGTCTCATGGCCCTCTATCAGAATCCAGAGTTTCGAGAAGCTTAGAGAAACTCAAAAATTCAACCCCCCCAAAAAAAACGACAGTGGTACCCCTTTCGTTTTTTGTTTTTTGCGGGCGAAAAAGTAAGTTTCTGCAATTTTCCCAAAACTCTGGATTCTGATAGAGGGCTATGAGACTTAAACCTGAGTGCAAAAATGGAGGCTCTAGACCCTTCCAGAGCTGAGATATTGAGATCCCACATAGCATTAATGCCATTATAAATATCTCAATATCTCAGCTTTGGAAGGGTCTAGAGCCTCCATTTTGGCACTCAGGACTAAGTCTTTATATTTCCTGCTTTATATTTTGGGGTGAAGTGTGACCAGGATCTGGTTTTGATGAGATTCACACACTGACTGCGGTGTGTTTGCGTGTGCACCTGCTGTCTGGTCTAGTACACAGTAGTGCAGTGCCAGATCAGTGCTGTAAGCCCAGCAGTGTTTATGTGGATGAGTGCGTGTTGGCGCTGATTGTGTCCTCTTCACATCCGTTTCTCCACTCCTCCAGCACCTGACTGCCAACACTGACTTCAGTCCCTAATATGAAGGCATGTTGTGATGGATCCGTGTCAATATCGGGATTCTGATAACACCTGGTTTGGCTATACATCCGTTAACATTCCAAGTTATTTAAGCCTCTAAATGTTTGTGTTGTGTACCGTTATAACCGATCTTCAGGCAGTTTCATGGGATTTAGGTAACACATTGGCCCCCCCTTTTTTGTAGGGAAAGTGTTGGATATTTATAATGGCATAAATGCTAAGTGGGATCTCCACATCTCAGCTCCGGAAGGGTCTAGAGCCTCCATTTTGGCACTCAGGTCTAAGTCTCATGGCCCTCTATCAGAATCCAGAGTTTCGAGAAGATTAGAGAAACTCAAAAATTCAACCCAAAAAAAAAAAACGACAGTGGTACCCCTTTCGTTTTTTGTTTTTTTTCGGGCGAAAAATTAAGTTTCTCCAATTTTCCCAAAACTCTGGATTCTGATAGAGGGCCATGAGACTTAAACTTGAGTGCAAAAATGGAGGCTCTAGACCCTTCCAGAGCTGAGATATCGAAACTCAAAAATTAGACCCGAAAAAAAAAAACCCGACAGTGGTACGTACCCCTTTCGTTTTTTTTTTTTTCGGGTGAAAAATTAAGTTTCTCCAATCTTCTCAAAACTCTGGATTCTGATAGAGGGCCATGAGACTGAAACATGAGTGCAAAAATGGAGGCTCTAGACCCTTCCAGAGCTGAAATATCGAAACTCAAACATTCGACCCGAAAAAAAAAACGACAGTGGTACCCCTTTCTTTTTTTTTTTTTCGGGCAAAAAATTTAGTTTCTCCAATCTTCTCAAAACTCTGGATTCTGATAGAGGGCCATGAGACTTAGACCTGAGTGCAAAAATGGAGGCTCTAGACCCTTCCAGAGCTGAGATATCGAAACTCAAACATTCTACCCGAAAAAAAAAAAAAAAACGACAGACCTGAGTGCAAAAATGGAGACTTTAGACCCTTCCAGAGCTGAGATATGGACATCCCACATAGCATTTATGCCATTATAAAGATAGTGGGATAAATGCTATGTGGGGTCTCAATATCTCAGCTCTGGAATATGTTTTAATGTTCAAGTTTTTGTTCTAAAAAAAGAAAGATGCACACAGAAAATGACTCTAATATGACCAGATTGATTGATTCGAATATATTTAGTTTGTTACAAACAATGTGCAATCTGTAAAACAAAAACCTCAAAATTATAGTTGAAATGGTATACTGCTGGAATTTTTTTAACCTTGAGAAAAAGCTTAAAGTACAGACCAACAAATATCACTGTGTGCTAATACAAGAGATGAAACAGAGTCATGATTCATTTAGTCAATTTTTTAATTGAATAAACTTCTAAAAGCACAGTCTTCAGTTTTCCTAACTAACAAATAAGGCACATATCGGAATGCCGTTTCATGGACACTGAGCTACAGATTTCATCTAGTCTCGCATTCTAGTACATTCCACCATCAATGCTTTCTGTAGCTCGGTCCACTCCAATATGATGAAAAATATATTACAGACATTACAAACATGAGTGTTAAATCAGTACATTCAATAAATCTATTAATGGTACTGGAAATCCTAGGAGTGAATAGAGGCATTTATTAATGACTAACAATTAGAGAGGTCTATTCTACAAAAGATTTCTTGGCAAGAATTAAACATGTATTAATATTAAATAAGAATACATTGCACAAATTATATTTCTTGAATCATTTAAAAACATGCACATGCAAACTTCAACCCCACACAATTTTTCAGCCCCACACAAATGTGAAGAAAAGCATTTCGACATCATTCCTGGACCTGGCAGTAACTGGAGACGGCTAACTAGAGCTCAGTTTCATACAGTATGAACCTGATTCACTAACACATTTCGACTGTGTAAAAGGTTTGTACGTGCAATTCAGTGTTATGATCAATGACTCGGTTAGTCAAGTCTTTTTGCCACTGTTTTGCATCTATAAAACCTCTCAGTAAAAAGGCCCTACGACTTACAGTGTGTGAGTCAGTCTCTGTTATGTTAAAAACAGCTGTTTGTGGTGATGTTAAAGCGAGTGTTATAGGTTTCCTATAAATGCAAATCAAACCATTCATGCATTGCAGACACAACAATTCTAAACAATGTTGAAGCGCATGTATGCTCATAACAGGTAAGGTTACGATATACTAACAACATCTAATAACAAAACAAATAAAATGGCTTGTAAGGGCATAATAATTATGTACCAACCATTGAATAATATTCTATGTAGTCATCAATATTTTCTTCATCGAGTAGCTTCTGTTGCATATTTTATACAAAAAAAGAATTGAATTGTTAAAAAAAGAACAAAATCCTTCCATAAATATTTCTGTAGGATATAACCAAAGATTATTGTAAAACATCAAAGGAAAAAAAAAGCTCCCAGATCTTTTGCATCTCAGCAATTTGCCCTTTTTCACATAAGTTTTAATATTGCATCATAACATTTTGAAACAGGTAACTTGATAATGATGGCAATCGAATATATACATAAAACACATACTAGTATCTTTGTAAGGGAAACCGAAAAAGAAAAAAAAATTGCTCCAAAATCTTCATTTTCTATATTGTTTCCAAAATACACATACCTTTAATAGAAAATAACACGTTTATACTGAAAGTGAGCTATAAAAGTCAAGTATATGTATTTCAAGACAAAAACACATGCGCAAAAAAAGCACTTTGTATAGTTTTAAATGCGTGGACACCATCAATACCACAATCTCTGTCTTTCATTCAATATAACAGAAATCAACAGGGGAAGTTCATTTACACAAATCCGCCAAACTCAGCGCTATCTTTTTAGTCATGTATATAGTGCAATGCAATTATTTTGCAATAGTAAAGCAAAAATAATAATTAGGCTTTGATCTAGTGGTGCATACAGAACTGACAATAAATTGAATTGATCCCAAAACTGCAAGGAAATCATTATTTGTAGACTATCAGCTATGGGTGATCCGCAATGATTAAGATGAATCCACAGTAATAGTTTATTTCACTGGTTATTTTCATTACGGTGTTTATCAAAAAGCAGAGAAACTCATTCCAGCCTAAATGAGGCCTGAAGTAAACCTTGGCGTGTAAGAATGTACGCACAGTGAAGCCATTAGCAACACCGGCAAAAACACAATAACCATGAAATAAAGGCTCTCAGAAACAATGACGACATCCAAAGAAGAAAGCAGCGACTTACACAAACAGCCTTGCTTTTTATCTAACAGTGAAATAATGATTGACTCCTTAAATCTCCCATCAGAAAATCAAAAGTAGAATTAGCTGGTGGTTTATATTTTCAGACATCTAATCAGCTCTTTAATTCCTCTGCATCATTCGTGACATCCTCTAGCAAAAATCCAGATTTTTAACTGTGTTAAGGCACTAGACGTTCCCTTCAGAGAAGATTCATATCGAGTTCTAATAAATGAAACATTAACTACACAAAATATGTGGACTCCAAAGATAAGTAAACATTTATACACATTGTATTTACCATGTAAATGCGTTTAACTTCATATGTACATCTAGGATTAACAACGCAACGTCAGTTCTCACACTATCCATCTGCAACTTCCCACCGGAACACGTAAAGCTACATTTATTGTTCAATAATCCTGGGTCACACTCAAATGATTGATTAATACATTGTGTGAGCCATAATAAGAGGTAACGGCACATAGATGAGATCTTGTACACACTTACTTCCATACAAATACTAACGAGCTCCTATCATAATTCTCTCAGTAATACGTCTCGGTCCAAAAAGTCTTCTGACCATTCAAATGTTCGCCAAAATTGAATCTCATTACATCTCAAATAAACTCTTCGTCATTACTTACTTTGTCCTTCTTTTCCCTTTACAACTAATATATATGTCCACTTAGATGGAAAAGTCTTCCCAAAAATCACAGTTTAAACAGGGTGTAATTCATCAGTTATGTTTGCAGCTAATTTATAAGCATAAACATATGGGGTTACGCAAAAAGTTTTCATTCCAAAATACGATCAGAATGATTGTGTAAACAGCGGATTTTTTTTAATGAAACATTTTAGTGCAAGGGTCAAATTCAACATTTAGGTTAAAAAATAAAGGTTCTTTTTGCGTCCATGGTTCCATTGAAGAAACATCCATGGAAACTTTCTACAGCACAAAAGGTTTTTCAGATTAATCAAATGTTCTTCACGGTAAGTAAAAAAGGGTTATTTTAGAACTGTTCAATGAAAAGTTATTTGAGGAATGGCATTGCTATGCAAACCAGCTTTTGGAACCTTTATTTTTAAGAGTGAAATAATTCATATTTTGGAATTTAAAAATGAACAAACAGTGTTCATTTAAGGCACTCTATTTCATCTGAGATGCGTCATTCAAACACTCTTTATCCTGAGGCCAATATCTCAGCGAAGAACAGGCGTTATGTTTTTGAATGCTTGGACACGGACTGAAAAGCTCACATTTTGACCCCTGTACCAAGATACTTTATGAAGCAGTTCTCTGGCAACAATTGACGACATACGTGATCACATTTCAAAGGACCGTGATGATCATCAAGTCGTGGCTTTGTTTCGCTCATCCACAAAAATCGTCCGATTTTGCGACAATGTAAAGGAACTGCATAAGCTGCAATGGTTTTGCATAGTTGCCAACAACTCGATTCAAAGGTTCTAGGTGCCTCCAGGGCTGCTATTAGCCAACCTGACAAAAATATCTCACATTTGGCAATTCATAAATGTACGTGGAATATACAAACTACCTGATGCGCTAAACCGAAGCATTAGTTCTATTCTACAGTAGTTTCTAATGGCAAGAGATGGGGTTAAACAATACCTGTCCAGATATAAACACAGATGAAATTATCCCAGTTTAGTTAATTCAATTGCACTACGATACGATATACAAACATAAATAAATATGTGACACGAAAGCAAGGGATGGAAAATCCATTATCCCTCTGTTAATTCACAGTTAACATGATGTGCTATTGACCCAAAAACTCTGCAAAGGCACTCTGGGCCCTTGTTCGACTAACGTAAAACCTTTAGTGCTCGGCACATCCTCAAAGTTCACTTGGTAGGGAGAATGAAGGGAGTCTGTAAACACACAATCTGGGAACGCAACGGTGAGGTAATCCACTGCATCCCGTACGGATAGAAATACTGTTCCAAACATATTCAATTGTCCATTATACACAATAAATGCGTTGCATGCTGCTGATACACAAAGCCATTACTAGCGTTAGAGATATTTACATTAATATTTTGGCACTTTTCACTTTTTCTGGAGCGCTTGGTAGGAGAAGTGTTGGGAAAGGGGGGGGCACGATATCGGGATCCTCCTTATTGCACACGGCGGCAGTAGTAGCCCAGGACTTTGCACTTCTCGCACAGATGCTGCGGGTGCTCCTTACTCTGGTCGGAAACGTCCAGGCCATCGGGTTTCTCTAAAGGACGCTGAGAGGAGCAGAACATTTCAATCACCCTTTGAGCGCATGTGTATTTCTGTCCACAACATCAGTCAGGTTGAAACTGAAGATTTCTTTTAGCATTTGGCTAGACTCTTTGGAGATATGGTTTTGGAGACGAAATATCAGGATCTCGAAGGTCCAAGTCTAAAACCACAATGGACCAACCACAGGGGTGTGTCAGAAATTTGTTTGGGACTGTTATCAAGAGCCAATTCGTCCTTGTTGTGTTTTTAAAGCTTGCCAGCAGTACATGTTTTGTTATTAATTCTTCATTAAATTTTTTCCCCTCAATTATTTTGCGTAGATTGTTATACAAGAAGACTCCAAGTAATTTTAGATGCCTACAGGATTCCATCGCTCAGGACGACAACCAGGGAGGGAAGACTCTACAGCGAATCTTTGTCTTGGACGCGACGCAAAAGACACTGAGAACGTTTGCGAGCCAAATCTTTTTGGCTGTTGATCACAAATAATACTTCTGCAATTATTTGTTTTCCCACCCATTGCTTTTGGAAGATCGTTTTACAATGCTGTTATTCTTTCCTGTTCGTCTCAGTTCGCTCCGTGAATTACGGAAAACCAGGTTACGACGGGCCATTGGGAGGAGACAGCGTTGTAACCCGAGGGAGTGTTTGCTCGAGAGCCAAAGGCTTTTGTGAATGATAATGAGAGGAAATGTCTAATACCTCTGTGAATTAATAATTTGGCAACATTGGCCTGATGCTCCCAATAAGCAGAAAGAATTCCTGCCAAAACCGAAAAAAGCGCAGGAAGCTTGGGAGGACTTTATATAATACCTCTGTTCCATGTCTGCTCTCATACTGTAAAGATGTCAGCCGTGTTCCCTGTGCATGTCGTTAAGTATGAGAATGATAAAAGCAGGGATCTTCGGACGCCTGCTTCTTGAGCACATTCTGGCACATGTCGGGCTTTTTTACACAGCAGTGTGGCATTGGCACTACTAAGATACTTTCACTTCATCATCCATCGGGAATGACTGGAGGTATAAAATGTTTTTATGGCGTACGATCTGGAGTTTTGAACGATTTCCATACAGCACGACAGAAGAATGATTTCCATTGTGAGAGAACAATAAAAACAGATTTTTCATATGCTTGCTTGGGTTACTGGGAAAGAGGGCCAGCTGCAAACCCTTAAAGGCATTTTGATATATATTGCAGCGAGCTTCTCACACGCTTACAGCAGGAAACATGTTAAGTGGGTGAGATTGAAAAGCTAAAGAATTTGCTTGTCAGAAGGGTATTAGCCATAATACTCTGTCCTGTGGAAGAGCTGGCCATCTCAACAGCTGGTTCCTTCGGCACAACGACCGCTAATGCATTTGGATGCAAAACTACTTGTAGGGAAGGTAATTTCAATGAATGCTTCCCTACTGAGAGCTGCTAAAATATATCCATTTGCATGTTTACTTGAACTGTGTAGTGACTCTTTAAAAGCAAGGTTAACCACTGAGGCTGCCGAATAATGCTTTCTATTTTTGCCTTATTATGTATGATGCAAAATAATTACTTAAAAATATACTTCATGTGGAATTATCCAAATGAATTGACTTTATTAACTTCAACAAATCAATCTAAATGCAGCTTATCTACAGTGTAGATAAGTTCGTGACTTCCTGAAAAAGGACCCCTTCTTGAATTCAGGGGGTGTTTGGGTTAGACAGATGCCTTGGGTTTGTGTCTCAGGTTTCAAGGGTACCTGCTGGGCCCCATCCATAAGAACTTCTTGGAAGATTGCACTCACACAGTTGACTGGCAGATTAGAAAAACTTGCATGTAGTATTTTAGAAATATAGTCTAACTTATGAGCTGTTAAAAGACTGATACTGTACCTGTTTATGAGGATAAACATTGATATGGCATTTGATGCATTCCTGTCCCATGTTGGCCCAGGAGTTCCCACTCATCCACTTCCTCTTGCATTTAGGGCACTTGTATTCACCAAAGCACCTCTTCTTGCCTTGGTATGGAGTCAGTCCTTCTCCTTTGGGTCTTGCCTGTGAGGACATTTCAGAGACAAAGTTTGATTAATGAGTGTTGCTTGATTTTAGTGAACAATTTAAAGCTTTGTGGATTGTGGAAAATGTTTGTGACCAAAATGTATGCAAATAAGTAAAGCACTGCGCATGATCTATGATGTTATTGGAGGACTAGAGAATAAACAGTTCTTCTTAAAACAGAAATGGTTGCAGAAGCTGGTGATCATTGATCATTTTTGTTGTATGGAAATAAGCAGCTCTGATATTTTTATTAAATTCTGGTTGATACCAGTTAACTAATAATTATTTTTATGTTATGGAAAATAATTGCTTAAAAAAATCTGTACCGTATTGCTTGCATCATCACAATATTAAACAAGCAGTAAGAACAATTGGATATTATTGGTGTGACAACAATAATCATGCAACTTAATTATCAGATATTCAAAAAGATGAACATGAATGCTTGCATAATGTGTTTAACAAGCAACATATTGTAAACTGTATGTATGGCAATCATTACTAATATTAGCAAAAATAATAATACCCTCAGTCCATATTTCCACTGTCTAACATGCTGTAGAAATCCTGTAACAATTATGGTAAGCATGAGAAATCACTACAAATCTACAGTATAGGAGGGGCTGCTTTTCATTTTTATACAGGAGAAAATATTCTCATAAGGACTTTATTATGGGAGTAGTTTCAACAAGTCAATGCTGACATCAATATCTAGGCCTCTACAACTGCAAAAGAAAAAGAGAGGTTTTTCCCTTTAGCATCACAAACATCTTTTTGGTCAAAGTTTGTCCAAACCAAGCGCATTTAAAATGCTTAAACTCAAGTCGGTCAAACCCTGTCACAACTCATCCAAAGCTGTGCCACAAAAACACAGAAAAAAAAGCATCTAAACAAAACGATACTTACAGAGAGCTGCTGACTTGAAATATGGCACCAGTTTTTTTTTCTTCTTAAACTGAAGTACATGCTATGTGTGGTATGGCAGACTCCTGCTGGAGAGTTCAGACTCCAAACCACTACACACATTTGAGAACTCAGTATATGGGGAATTCTAATGATTTTAATTATGTAAGTGAATTCAAACCTCAACAGATTATTGCGGTGTGGTCTCTCAATATACTTTCTGGTCATTGTTACATACTCTCTGCTTCCTTTTTTAAATCAAACTCTCCCAGACGAGAACAGAAAAGTGGCTATGGTATAGTCAGTGCATTATGAGCACATATGAGATTTTAAGCAAGACGTAGGATGTGCATCCATGCATCCGATCCAACCATCTGTAATCTCGCTAACAAATCGATGGCTACCGGAGTGTTTATTCCACACTGTGAAAAGGGATAGGCAAACCTAAAGCTGCTTTACTGGTGAGAGGATTTGGAAATTAAGTTTCAGCTCCCATATGAGTAAAAAAGAGGTGATATCACCCATTAGCATCTGCTCCCATCCACACAGAGCCAACTGGCCAACTGACACGCTGCATGTAAAAGGCCCTCCTCCCCAACCTTAAACACCATGAGTCAACCACTGTCAACAGAACTGTCGACAACAGCTGGAAACCATGACGGTTGTGGCTGTTGTTTTGGCCATATTTTCAAACTTCACAGAAAGTCTGACGCAAGGCCACCCCTATGACGGTGCCAATCCCTATTCTATCGTAAGGCTGGTGGTCTGGTATATGGGTGAGGTCGGGCTAAATCGGAGAACAGGCAAAATAATCAGTGATATCTGGTGTCAGAACCACTGCTTTTCATCAAATATTTAGTAATTAACTCAGCATGCAGAATAATGGGTTGCCCCATGGCCTGAAACTCAGGTGCGTGCCAGATGACCTGTTTTTGAGAATAGTAGTTCATGAATAGTGGAGTTAACACTTCATATCATATCTCTGTACATCAAAAGGAACCTTATATATATATATATATATATATATATATTTTTTTTTAAATATAAATATATAGAGTATATAGGGCTAGAATATAAATCTGGCTCACGCTAAACCAAAATTATACCACCAATCAAGCAAACAGTGGATGGTTCGCCTCGAGTCGCAACTGGAAACGACTGGACAGGCATTTGCAAGTTACAGCATCTCTGTGAGACAGATTTGATCAGCAGTCTTGCAGAATTCACAACTCTGTGAAAAAGGCTCTATATATCCAGCACTGCAGAGGTCCTGGACAAGGGCCAGAAAACACACATGATATTCTGTTTACGACAGTCTGACCTATTTTGGCTGTGTTTTTAATAGATTTTAGACCAGAGGTACACTGGCATTGTGAGGGAAACCTGGCGAATTTGACATTTAGACATTCTGTATCGCATGCAAAGGGAATAAAATAAGAACAAACAAACAAATAAATGATGTGTTGTTAAATATGATTGAAAGAAAACTGAAGCTGAACTTTTTTTTCTTTAAATAAATCAGAGAAAGTAAACTGTTGCTTATTTAAAACACATAAGTTTTGCTCTAACCACCGGATCTGAAATCCACAAACCCAAGAAGCCAAAATTTATTATCCTATTGTTTTAGCTCTGAAAATATTGCTCTAACAAAATAAGCAATTGCGCAAAATAAAAACACTCGTTATTTTCCAAATGCAACAATCGCCGAGGAAACAAGGCAATGGAGAGTACGCTCCACTTACAGTCACCACCAAGGAAATGACAAACTAATGCTGCTGACAGTAACAGCACAGTCTAAACAAATCCTGACCAAAGCCTGTGTGTTTACACAGTTCTGCCCAGTGCATTGCTCTAGAAGTAATTTGACCATTTTAACCCAACCTGAGCTTAATGGACACAGCAGGTTTGTGTAAATCAATCTAGCTATTTGTCCAATGAAAACAGAGCTTTAAAGACAGGAAAGGGAATCGATAAGAGCAGCACTGAATGAATAGCTGATGTTTGATAGTTCTCTCCCATCCTGCTGTAAGTCAATGTTTACTTCAGAGGCAATGTGCATTAGCCTTAAAGGGGTTTTGAAGGAAGAGCCCTCACTATCCAGCTGTTCGAGGGAGTTATAAAGTCATTTTTAGAGCAAAAATGGACAAAAACACTCACTCCCCATAAACACGCAAAACAAAATATTTACTGCCTGTCAACATAGAGTAAGGTGAATCTGTTCCCGAAAACCCTTACATTGTTAATCCTAGTGACCTTACATAACTGTGGGCTCACCATCTGAGGCCTAAGCCTGAAAATATGAGCTTGGTGAATGCTTGGGACATTGAAGAGATCGAAGTATCCAGTGACTGTAAATGCTCAGGGAAGAGGGAGATCAAATCGAGCGTCTCCACTCACTATCCCTCCAGCTGTGTTCCCAATGGAGACTGAAAGAGAGGGAGGGGGCTTTGGCTGTCCTAGCAGCAGAGCCAACCTCCCCGCAACAGGACAAATACCACAGCACGGCAGTCATCGCTCACAGCTGGAGACGATCCTCCAATCAGGCCCTACAGGACTGAAGGGGGAAGGAAATCAGAAGCAGATGAGTTCCACACGGGTATAACATGGAGAAAAAAAAACTCGAAAAGTCCCTTTCAGATCAGCCCTCTGTTTTCAATTAAGACTATATAGATTAACAAAAGGGTGCCAGAGGAGAAAAGTGAGATGTAGCGAATAGCGATTCAGTTCTTAGAGAAAGATCAGACTTAAAGGAGCGGGAAATTATATGATGGATCTTTTCGGGGTGTGTTCAAAATAAGAACAGTACATTTGAAAATAAATCAAATGCATTTAAATGCAAGTGAATGGACATAAAGCTGCTCCTCCCAATCTAACAGGAAATGTTCTCAGAACTTTGGCTAACATTATGGAAAGGTTCTTTCAAAGTTAAACGTAAAATTCATTAAAGCGTTTTTAAAACTGGACATTTAGAATGTTCAGAGAATATTCAGAAATAAAATGTTAATAGGAATGTAAGCAAAATTTGTCAACTGGGTCTGCTTGCTCCAAGAGCAATAATACTACAGTAGAGTGCCAGGATCAATCGAAAAACAAACAAAAAAATAGTTGAAATGAATAAATCAAATAACCATACAGAACATTTACATATCTCTATAAATGTTGTAATTCAATTGTCTTTTAAAAATTCAAGTTTTATAATTATAAAAGTCGCCTAATCTCTGAAGAATATTCTGTATAATAGGCAAAATAGTGCCTTTAGGGGGTGCTACAGGGGGTTAGTGCATGTTAGAATAATAATTTTAAAAAAACATATAATATATATAGTACAAAAATTTTCTTTGAAACAAAGTCTTGCCATATATTCAAGAAAGAATGGAGGATATACAGTGGCCATAAATTTACACAAACTTTTTACCACATTTTAAACTTGTTTATATGTTATTTTTCTGTGTGCACAATGGAGGAATTTTTGAAAGGGTGACAGCAATTTAAGAGAATTCTTGGAGGTTATCGAAAAAAAATACTTCTTTGGCCCAGGCTGCTGAAGTTTGGTTTTGCAAGGAAATGCATGTCAACTCTTGGGGCAGAGAATCAACAGGAGACTACAAAAATCCAAACACATTTTTTTTAGTCTTCACAAATGCGGGACAGAAAGGTTGTGCATAATGTTTTTGGCTATTCATGCAAAACCGCAAAGTTTTGTCAAGCTGGCCTTCCACAAACACACAAACATTACAATTCTGCTTCCTTCTTGCAAATATCATCCAAAAATCTGTTTAAGTAAACAGTGACTCATTGACCTAAACACTAAGACAGAATATTTTCCTAAATGCACACAGACACATGTGAATTGCCCCTAAAATAATAATAAAAACAGTTTAGAAATATAAATATAATGTATTTTTTATATAGATTAAGGCCTGGTTGCACAGACAGGGCTTATATTAAGCCAGGATTAGGCCTTAGTTTGTTTAGAAACAATTATGTAGCCTAGCTTATATTAACATTCCTTAGAGAAAAATAACATTACTGGTGTGCATCTCAAGACAAAACAATGGCACTGACTTTTAAGATATGTCAGTGCAAGTTGCTTT